CGACATTTCTTCATGGTGATATTGATGAAGAAATAGATTCCGAGCTGCAGGGAAAGATAAGTTGGTTTGCAGGCTAAAGAAATCGCTATACGGTTTGAAGCAGTCTCCTCGACAGTGGTATAGGCGATTTGATGGTTTTATGCTTGGTCATTCGTACACTCGGAGCCAGTTTGATCCTTGCGTGTATTTTCACAAGTTGAGAGGAGATGCGTACATTTATTTGTTGCTTTATGTCGATGACATGTTGGTTGCCTCTAGTTCCAGGTTAGCTATAGATGAGTTGAAAGTTCAGCTTTTGAATGAGTTTGAGATGAAGGACTTGGGCGAGGCGAAGCACATTTTAAGGATGGAGATCGGCAGAGACAAGAAGAAGGGCAAGATTTGTTTGACACAGGTGGCTTATTTAAAGAAGGTTCTATAACAATTCCATATTAGCATGGATACGAAGCCAGTTGGTGTACCTTTGGGAGCCCATTTAAAGCTGTCAGCTGGCCTTTCACCGAAGTCAGTTGAAGACCGTGAGTTGATGACGAAAACTCCATATGCGAGCGCAGTTTGGAGCTTGATGTACGCGATGGTATGTACGAGGCCGGATTTGTCACAGGCGGTGAGCATAGTGTCAAGATACATGCACGATCCAGGAGTGGGTCGTTGGGACGCTGTGAGATGGATTTTGAGGTACATTCGAGGTACGCTCAACGTTGATTTGGTTTATGAGCGGGACACTACAGGTGGGCAGTTGTGCATTAGATATGTTGATTCGGATTATGCCGGGGATTTGGATAAGCGGGGACACTACAGGTGGGCAGTTGTGCATTAGATATGTTGATTCGGATTATGCCGGGGATTTGGATAAGCGTCGGTCTACTACGGGATATGTGTTTACTTGGGGATTTGGATAAGCGTCGGTCTACTACGGGATATGTGTTTACTTTGACCCGTGCGCCGGTGTGTTAGATATGCACCTTACAGTCTATGGTGGCTTTGTCTACGACGGATGCAGAGTATATGATGGTTATGGAGGCCGTGAAGGATGCTATTTGGCTTCGAGGACTTTTGGAGGAACTTGGTATATCGCAGCGGTCCGTCGCCATTCATTGTGATAGCATTAGTGCTATCTATTTGGTGAAGAATCAGGTTTTTCATGCGAGGACGAAGCACATTGACGTTCATTATCACTTCGTTCAGGATGTTCTTGAAGATGGCGATGTGGAGATTGTGAAAGTCCACACAAAGGATAATCCGGCGGATATGCTCACTAAGGTGGTTCCGAGCAACAAGTTTGATCATTGTCGAAACTTGTTGCACATTCGTGATTGTTGAGGTCGTTAACGGCCATTTGGATGAACTACGGGCGGCTTGATCCCTTGGGAGAGAGGGTACGTAGGCAACCACATTGGTGCAGCCGAGTTTAGAGAGACGACACATTGGTGCTCATGTTGGTGTCGGCTCAGTGTTGGGAACACTTCGCCGAGGTGGAGAATTGTTGGATAGCAGATTCCTAATCTATTTTGGTTTAGGATTCCTAATCTATTTTGGTAACATGAGGTTATTAGGATTCCTAATCTATTTTGGTAATAGGTTATTAGGATTTCTAATTTGATTTGGCTTTTGGTTTAGAATTCCTAGTATGTTTATAATTTTAGGATTTCTATATATATGGAACAATTGAAGGATTGAATAGGAGAGAATTAGCATTGTTTTGAGCACTTTGAGATGGAGATATTGTGAGGGAGTTGAGAGCTTTGGTTAGGGTTATATTTGAGTGATTTTATGAGTTGTAACCCGTTGTATTTCTCCTCCATATAGTAAAATCTCCCCATCCTCTCCCCGTGGACGTAGGCAATTGCCGAACCACATAAATCCTTGTGTTTGGTTTGATTTGTGTCATATTTTGGTGAATTGCACTCGTGATTTGGTTTGGCTAGCTTTCTTCTTCCGTGATCTCAAGTTCGTTGTGTGTGGTGCAACGCTTCCGCATAGGCGCGCGACAAATCTCAATACTCTATCTGTGGGATCAAAATCTTACTGTGTAGGAGAGGATGGTTTTGGAGAAATATAATAGATTATCAAGGGCTAAATTTAATTTCATTAATCAGAAATCCAGAATTAGATGGCTTTATGAAGGGGATAGAAGTTCTCGATGGTTTCACTCATCCATAAGAAATCAAAGGCATTATGCAAAAATTTTGATGTTATACAGTCAGGATGGAGATAGACTTACGGACAAAAAGATGAAAAATTAATGAAATTATCCATTTCTATACTAGTTTAATGAGATCAGCAGCCACTATTTCGTATGCTTCGAATGATGATATTGTAAAATTAGGACCATGTTTGACTGTAGAGCAGCAAAGGACTCTTATGCAACCAATTACTCAGGTTGAAATCCTCTATGGTCTATTTTCTAATCCTGACTGCAGGGCACCTGGACCGGATGGCTACTCTACTTCTTTTTTCAAGCATGCATGGAGTGTTATGGAAAAATCCTTCGTGAAACTATCATGTTGGAACCTGGATCATTTATAAGGTAATTTAAAAAATGATTACATCTAGACTTCAACCTATAATGAGTCGGTATTGTTGGGGATTCTCAATCTGCATTTGTGAAGGGTAGGACAATTTCTAGCTAGCTAGTAACATATTACTTGGCTATGAACTAATGAAGTACCATGATAGAAAGAATATATCTCCTAGATCTATGCTTAATGTTGACATTAGGAAAGCATATGACACCTTAGATTGGAATTTCTTCAAGAGTGTGCTTGACGATTGGGGTTTCCATCTAAAATGATTGATTGGATCATGCACTGTGTTTGTAGCCCCAAATACTCTATGTTTTTTTTTAATAGCTTTCTTTGTAACCCCATATTTTTTAATAACTCTGTTCATAGTTATTTTCCCTAGTAAAAAAGGGTTGAGGCAGGGTGATCCCCTATAACTTATTTGTTTGTTATCTGTACGTACGACCTCTCTACAATGTTGAGGCGGTTGAAGGATGAGAGGTCTGTTAAATATCATCTTAAATGCTCCAAATTAGGAATTAATCATCTAATATTTGTTGATGATTTACTCATGCTTGGAAGGGTTGACTGTAATTACATTGTACACTTTTGCATCAGTGTCGTGATTTGTTTTACTGCTCAGTGGGTTTTGATCAGAGGCCAGGTTTTGTATTTTCGTATATGCCTTAGGTATTACATAACGCAATATACAGTTGGTCCTAAAATTTTTTTTTTTTATTGACACAAAAATAAATAAATAAATAAATAAAGATTCTTTATTGCCTATGTACCCTTAAGAAATCTACCCTACTTGCACATGAACCCTCCAAATATCTCAAACTATACACATCGGCCGGTATCAGGTGTAATCAGCACCAAAAACAGCTCTAAAACACAAAAGCTATCCCTTTCTTCAGATTCAGGCTTTTGTTGGGCCATCTGACATAGCTTAGAACCATACTAGCAAGCTAGGTTAATATATATATTTGACCCACTCTAATAATGTTCTAAGAAGCCATAACCAAACATTAACTCATCACCAGGGCGCGGCTTCATCAAGTGATATCGTCATCAAAGCCCAGATTCTGCGGGTGAAGCTCTTCGGCCGGAAAGGCCTCTTCTATCAAATACTAGTTGAGGAGGAAATGTATAGAGCTTCAGCTTAATATTTTCACTTTGAATTATATATATATATATAATATATATATATATATATAATAATATATAATATATATATATATATATATATATATTAATCATATATATATTATATAATATATATATATATATATATATATATATATATATATATATATATAATTATACACAACAACATATGTTTAGCATCAATTGTCATGCAAAATATTTCTCGTATGATGTTAATTAACTGACTTAGAGAGGGGTTGGGGTAGGCTTTATTTTTTTGGTCCAAACTAGCTTTTCATTTCTATTTGTTTTGGTATAATGTGTAATAAGTTAGCATATAATGTCGCATTTATAAAAAAGCTGGTATACTAGGCTTTCTTGAAAAACTAGCTTATAAGCTCAATAAAAAAAGCTAGGTCTTGACCAAACAATTACTATTGCTACTCAAATAATTTTTATAGCTTTTTATCCAAAAACAAAGGCCGCCATAAAGGGCATAGCTATGCTTTATAAAAGCTAAAGAATAAAAAAAAAAAAATAAAAGTCTTCCCAAACCACCCTGCTATTTTAGCCCTCAAGTGGAGATTTCATTAATCAATTTCCAGCTTTGGCTCTTGAAAATTTGCTTTAAGGCCTAGTATTTCTAAGTCTCTCTTTAAGGTTCACAAAAACATCTTTCTT